TCTCTCCTTGTAGCCTCATACTTGTGCTCGTCTTTGCAGACCTTCGGATCTACTTTTAGGCCTAATTTTAATAATCCGAACCGTTTATGTTTTATGATTTATTCAGTATATCATACCTGTAAAAAATTAAGTTGATCGGATATCAGAAAGCATATGTTCGGAAAACTGTTTATTAAATTCTTTAAAAAATAGTTTTTAGTTCAATTTTTCGAACACATACTTTCTGATATCCGATCAACTTGATTTTTTACAAGTATAATATATCGAATAAATCATAAAATATAAACGGTTCGAATTATCAAAATTAGACCTAAAAGTAGACCCGAAAGCCTGCAAGGACAGACGCAAGTACAAGAACGGCAAGAAGAAGATCCTCATTCCTCCGTAAGCACCTCTACCAATGTACTTTCATACACCAAAATAATAATAATGATCATCAGAGGATCTTCAATTATTCCATACGTGGTATCATCAATTTTTTTCAAAAAATATTAGGAATTTTAAATATTTTATTGTCTTATATGAGTTGAAGACTTACATAATGTATGAGACTCATATTATATGAGTTTCACATTCATATGAGACATTTAATAAAATATTTAGAATTTCTAACATTACTCATTTTTTTTACAGTCATACTGCCTTATTTGTCACCAACATTCTCATTCCTCGCACTTTGAATAACACTGACGGTAAATGAATCTAGCCAAGTTTTAAAGAGACTCAATTTTTGTTCAAATCAACTCAATTAAATAAACAAATTAAGTTTAAATTTAAAAATAAAAAAAATTGAATTAATACGAATTCTACAAATGAAAAAAACATAATATTATCAGCAAAATGTAAAAAAAATTCATATTATTAATAAGTTTCACTCCTCTAATATTTAAATTTGTATGTACACTAAAACTCAAACAAAGAAATTGAATAAAAAACAGCAAAGAAATTTGAGACATTTAGGTTTCTTGATCTTGCTTCATTATAAGATGAGCTTAAACGTTTGACTTGAATTTGTTGATTTAATATTTAGATTGAATTCAAACAAATTTTAAACACTGTTTATAAATAATAGAGTTTCCTTGCATCCCTAACTTAGAATTAATAGTCTAACAAAAAGTAACACTGGAGAAATGTTGATGATAATTTTAAAAATCACAAAAAATATGTTTATAATTGTTAGAAACCTCAATAATAGTAAGTGTAATTTATCCATATAAAGAAAATTTTAGAACTAATAACTCACGCCAACACTGTCTTGGTGGATCTCATCATTATAGCAATCCCTTAGCCTACTTGTGTCATTAAATCTAAGGGACTTACATATATATATATATATATCATAATATGTAGATTTATTATTCAATAAATTATATGAGAATTAATAGTATTTTTTTTCAAATATTACTAAAAAAATGTCACTAATTATTAATTTTCAGTGATAATTTAAAAATTTTATCACAAAAAATGTCATTAGTTATAAGTTTTAGCGACAGTTTAAAAAAATCATCATAAAAAAGTCATTAATTTTCAATTTTCAGCGGTAGTTTAAAAAAATTGCCACTAAAAAATGTTATTAATTGTAAATTTTAGCGACAATTTATAAAAAGTGATCAAAAAAAAAATACTAATTGTCAATTTTTAACAATATATGTAAAAAATTATCATATAAAATTATTTTTAACGACGATTTTAGTAGAACTTATTTTTAATTAAACTTGGTAGAAATTAAATCTAATTATTAAGACCTATTGATAATTTATCATTAAATCTAGTACTAAGTAATAAATAGGTGCATATAAATATATACCAGTGGGTTTCATTGCCTACTAGTGTTATTAAACCTAAAAAATATAATTTTTTATTTTGATTTAAAAATATATATATTATGTGTTGCTGAAGTAGTAAGAGTATTGTCTGTTTTAAATTTGCCTGATCTACGTTGAGAGGACACTTTGTATGGGTAAGATCAATCGAGTTACGCATAAATTAATCTGGACATGGACATCCGGTCCTAAAAAAAAGATAAGAACCAATACTGCATTCATTGTGATAAATAAAGAATTCAAAATCAATGGTATATAAATAAACCACTACACATTGTCTTTTTTGGTTGCATCGATAGTGCATCGAAAAATTATATAATGATTTTGAAACAAGTAAATATGGTGTCTCAAATTAGTTTTCCTTGATTAAAATAGTGAATTTCGTCACTTTTATATTGATTTTTAATAAATAATTAGATAAGTATCCCATAATAAATAATATAGAGTATTGTGCGAGGATCAGCAAATAACTTGTCTAATTTTACACTCACATAAAATGGACCACATGCTGTAAATGAGGGTCTACTAGCAATAATTAAGATTTTGAAATTCGCATAACACAAAAATTGAATGGTCAATTTTCAACACCCCAACACAAAACTGTCATGCTGGGAACTCTATCTAGCCTGCAAGTCTATTTACCTTATAATTTTATACTATATTATATTTATTGTCTTACATGTCTCACTAAATAAGGCATATAATTAAGAATTGAGATAGGATGTTATTTTTTACAATTATTTTGATAAAAAAATATTAAAAATTTATCTACTTGAAGGAATTTAATAAATAATTTTGGTTATTATCACTCATGAGGTCACAGTATTTGATAAAGATGAATTATTCCTATTAAATTATTCCTATTCAAAATTTTTTATTTTTTTATTTTTCGTATTTTTTTATTTTCACTGAATATTTTTAATATTTTAAGATTTTTTTATTATATATTTTTAGACACATTTATCATAAATACACTTAAAAAATATAATATTCATGAAAAAATATTTAAAAAATTTACTAAATACCAAAAATATAAAAATTTAATACATTTTAGTATTTTTGTGTATTTATTAATTTTTTAAATATTTTTTCACAAATATTTTACTCTTTAGATACATTTAAGTAAGGTGCATCTAAAAAAGTAAAAAAATTGCTTAAAATTTTAAAAATATTCACTAAAAATAAAACCCCATGATATAGGACCGTTTACCATTTTCCCTTTTTTCCAAATATTTTCCTGTTTAAAATACTTTTTTTTTAAAAAAAAAAAAAAAATTCCAGTTAACCATTGAAAAAACACAAATAAAAAAAGGCCAGTTGTTTTCGGAGGTGCAGAGTGTTGGGCTATCAATATGATCCACCATATTTGGGAACATTCCGAGTCCAACCAATGTTGTACTTACCAAGTTCAACTGGCATGGATCATCACAGTCGCTCAACGTAAGGCCTAGAAATCTTGTTGCAGATGCATTTAAAAGAACCCACTAGACCAGATAATTTAGTGGGCCATTTTGAGGGCAAGTGTGTGGAGTGGGTTCGAAATCTCAATCATCGTTTGCCCTTTGTCAGCTCGGCTTCAGCACGGCGTAAATGAAAGAGAATACTATTCACTCTGTTCAGTTTTGATTTTCAAAATTTACTTTCAAAATTTTTTATTTTTTTATTTTTACTGAATATTTTTAATATTTTAAGTAATTTTTTTTATATATATTTTTAGACACATTTAACATAAATACACTTAAAAAATATAATATTCATGAAAAAATCTTTAAAAAATTCACTAAATACCAAAAATATAAAAATTTAATACATTTTTAGTATTTTTGTGTATTTATTAATTTTTTAAATATTTTTTCACAAATATTTTACTATTTAGATACATTTAAGTAATTTGCATCTAAAAAAGTAAAAAAAAAATTGCTTAAAATTTTAAAAATATTCACTAAAAATAAAAAAAAAAACAAAAAATAAAAAAAATCAATTTTAAAAAAATTAAATTTAGAAAATTGAAACAAAACACACTGATTTGCACTCAAGTTAATTATAAAATGAACACAATTATCATTTGGATAAATTACACTTTGCTTTTTTATATTTAGCCACATTTTCACCTTGACTTTTACAGTTATTTTTTTATTTTTTCCTTTTCACTTTAACTCTTCATATTTCAAAAAAATTTCAGTTTACTCCTAAAATTAATTTCTGTTAAAAATTAGACAAAAATTAACACATTGACAATCATGTGACATAAAAATAGTTTATTAAATATATAACTTACATATTTAACATAAACTTAAATCTTAATATAATTATAATAATATTTTTTTTATATTATATTATAATATTTTCTGTCCAATTTTAAATAGAAATTAACTTTATAAATAAATTTTAAAAAAATAAAGGCAGGAAGAATTAAAGTGAAAAAAATAAATTTTAAAAATTAAAAAAAAAAATCAAACATAAAGGCGGCAAAATAATTTGCCCTTATCATTTAGGCATGGTGTTTTGAGCAATGATCAAAAGCCAACTTTGATTAAAATAGTGGAAAAAATAAAAATAAAAATAAAAATTAAAGAATTATTTATTATTAGTTGAAAATGTGAATGTCACATTCAGTGTGTTTGGTTTTAGTTTTCATAAAATATTTCTAAGAAAATTTTACTTTTTTACTTTTTATATTTTTTTTGTTTTCAATGATTTTTTTTAATATTTTAAATAATTTTTTAAATTTTTAGACACACCTAAAATAAATAGACTTAAAAAGTATAATATTTGTGAAAAAAATCTTTAAAAGATTCACTAAATAAAAAAATAAAAAATATATAAAATATAATGTATTTTTTATATATTTATTAATTTTTTATAATATTTTTTTACAAATAATTTATTATAACTAAATAAGGTGGCATCTTAAAAAATACTCAAAACATATTTATCATGACATTGTGGTTAAATTGGAATTTTATTTTTTTGTTTGGAGTCGAATCTTTTTTTAAATTTTTTGGGCCCTTTTTCGAAACGAATAAAAAGTCTACTTTGAGACGTGGTTGAAAGTGATTGGGTGGGGCAAAATCAAAGCTTTCGCTTATTGGTCAGTTTTGGCAAAAACACGTACTCGGTCGTTGATACTCCGCCGGTTCACTAGTGCACACGGTTCAGTTTTATCGTTATGTATTAGAGAGAGAGAGAGAGAGAAATTGCACTAACGAATTGAAAACCATTCGTAAATTCTTTATCGTTCTCGTTGGGTCTGTGTGGTGTATTAGCATTTATCAAATCTGATTAATTACAAACCCTAGATTTTATTTTTAATTACGGGAGGGAGGGGATCGAATATCTCCAAATCTGTATCTGTGCCGTAGTTTAGTTTTATGGCGCTTCGAAGATCAAAACTAATATTCTTACTATGCGTTTTATCGCACGCTCTCATTGCCATTGCAGGGTAAGCAAGCACTGATCGTCTCTTTCAATGTTGCTTGAATTATTATTATTATTATTGTATAGACAGACATGTTTGTGTGCTGTTGTGTTGTGTTGACAGAAGAGTAAGTGAATCATTTCAGGAAGAGCTATTATGATATTCTTCAAGTTCCAAGAGGTGCTTCTGATGAGCAGATTAAACGAGCTTATCGGAAGCTCGCATTGAAGTATCATCCTGATAAAAATCAGGGAAATGAAGAAGCTAACAAGAAATTTGCTGAGATGAGCAATGGTAGCTACCTAATACCACTCTGTTACATGTTCATGTGTTAGAGAAAGTTGAGTTAGAGTATATCCATATATATATATATATATATATGTTTTTATTTATTTATTTATTTAGAGTGTTTTAATTGATTAATTTGATTAACTATCAGCTTATGAAGTGCTATCGGATAGTGAGAAGAGGAACATATACGATAAGTATGGTGAAGAAGGTCTGAAACAGCACGCCGCCAGTGGTGGCGGTGGAGGCGGAATGAATATTCAAGACATATTTAGGAAGTGAGTTTCCTTTACGCTGTGTTTGATTGAGGGATTTGGGAAAGGATTTGGAAAATGAAAGAGAAAAGGCAGGTAAAATAGGATTAAAATATACTTATATTTCACTTAATTTCACACATTTTTTTCCTTTCCATTTCCAAATCCATTCATAAATCCCTCAACCAACACAGCATTAATCTTCTATATATTTGGAATGTTTGTCACTTTCTATATATATATATATATATATATATATTTGTAGCAAATGCTGAATTTCAAATTTACTTTCCATGAAAGTGAGAATTGGATAACTAGCATACATAATGCCTGTCTAATATAAGATATTAATAGTACTTTAAAAAGAAAAAATATAAAATTTAAAGAAACAATATATATCATTGTGGCTATACGAGTTGATAGTGGAAATTTTTGTATTGGGGGCCATGTTGTAATCTCAATCTGTTTAGGTTAGGTTACAGAAGTTCCTGTAAAATGTTTTCCTCATTTACTTAGCATGATCTGTTATCCTTGTAGCAGTCTGTTATGTTCAGATACCACTATTTGGCATTACTTATTTTCCTTAATCTTAGCACATGTTAGATGAATCATCTTGTGAAAATAATTGTGGAACCCTTTTACGTAGAGTGGTCATTGAAGCCTCATGATAGTAATTCTCCAAAATGTATCGCTAAAAGTTTTCCTAATGACCCCATATACTGTTGTCCATACCTCGGCGTTGTGAATCTACCAAATCATCATACTTGAATTGGTGCTTGTTGCTCTTCTTTATAGTAGAAATGACATCTATTTTTCGTGTGGAAAGTTTGGTTTGACATTTTGTCATTGTTTACGAGAAAAATTTCTTTGCCAGTTTTTTTGGTGGAGGTCCAATGGAAGAGGAAGAGAAAATTGTGAAAGGTGATGATGTAATTGTTGAATTAGATGCTACATTGGAGGATTTGTACATGGGAGGATCATTGAAGGTAAGGGATATATGCTTATTTCTTGAATTTGTGAAAAAATATATAATTTATTTCCAATACTTCACAATTATTTGCTTTTGTTATGTTTTATGAGGTATCTGTCTTGTTTAATCTTTGTTGAAGCAACACTGATCTCTCATTGTACTTGAGATTTTCCTTTGTTACTTCTCTATTGGGTGGTTGTTTGTTCATTTAAGTGACGTATTATTATGTGGATTCATTAGGTTTGGAGGGAGAAAAACATTATAAAGTTAGCCCCGGGCAAGAGACGCTGTAATTGTCGAAATGAGGTCTACCACAGGCAAGTCGGTCCAGGAATGTTCCAGCAGATGACAGAGCAGGTTTGTGCCTTTTAACAATCTTGCAAGTATGAACACTATATTTTTATTTTAGTTTCTTGTTTTTGGTTTGAAGATACCTTTGTTTTGCGTGATAATTAGATCCAATCATTGAGCAACTCTGGTTATGTCTTGTCTTTCGTTTTGTTCTGCACGTTGATGCTATTGCTATGCTTATTAAATTCTCTAATTATTTGGTCTTTTAGGTCTGCGAACAATGCCCAAATGTGAAATATGAAAGAGAGGGGAATTTCATCACTGTCGATATTGAGAAGGGAATGCAAGATGGACAAGTAATGCTTCTATATATGTTCTTTCTATGTCTTCGTGCAAAACATTAAAATAGTCAATGTGAAGATGAACAAAAATTGGTAGACAATAACGATAATTCTGAAGGCATTATTTCCACCCCAGAAACTATAAATAGTAGTTTCCTTGTATTCATAAATTTTAAAAGGTAACCAAATAAATTTTTTTAACTTTGCTACCTCTCTTCCTCTTCTCCTCTTCCAGAATAGTACTAATACTGATCTTTTTACAGGAGGTGGTTTTCTATGAAGATGGTGAGCCTATAATAGATGGTGAAGCTGGAGATCTAAGGGTAATATCTACATCCTTGGCTTTGTAACAAAACTACTTACTTAAATCATATCATTTTGTGTTTGGGGGGGGGGTTTGGGATAATGTATAAATCATATACTAACAGTAACTATTGTATTTGTGCAGTTCCGAATTCACACAGCACCGCATGATCACTTCAGAAGGGAAGGCAATGATTTGCACACAACTGTTACTATCACACTGGTAACGAACTTTTTTTTGGACCTAATTCTCGTGTTATTATATTATACCATACTATGAATTGACAACATAGACATATGCTTGCATTTCAGCATCATTCAAGTGAATATATGTTTTCTTTACTTGAGTGGTGGAGTTTTATATGTGATACGGTGTTAGTAGACTATTAAAGCTAATTATTGATTGGTCAGTTTTGATTGAAAATATATTTGTTTTTACTTTTTCTTTCCATGAAGTGTTGGATCTCTAGTAACTCATTCAAAAAATTCTATTTCCCTTCAGGGGCAAGCACTTGTCGGTTTTGAAAAAACCATTAAACATCTCGATGATCATCTAGTAGACATCAGTTCAAAGGTGAGCATGAATTGTTCTCTAAGGCAACCTTTTATTGATTGAAATGAATTGCAACAACTATATCCTTAAATATTTGTTTTCAATGATCAGGGAATTACCAAACCAAAAGATATCAAAAAGTTTAAAGGTGAAGGCATGCCATTGCACTTTAGCACAAAGAAGGGCGATTTGTATGTTACATTTGAGATTCTTTTCCCGACTACACTAACAGAGGACCAGAAGACACAGATCAAGACAATTCTCAATTAGGGGTATAGAACTAAACATTTTTTTCTTGGGTACTAAGATGTTCACTTGTAACATTGACAAGGTCCATACAGAAGATTCAAGGCACACTGCTTTTTCTTTTTTCCTCATTTTGTCTAATGAGTAGCAGTACACATTCTACCAAGGATATCCTTGTTGGGACTTCCTATCTGCACACTATTTTTGTCTATTTAAGGTATCAACAATGATTCATTCCCCCTTTTCCTCCCACTCCTTTGACCCCCTCTCTCTCTTATTGGTTACATTTTCTTTTTCTTTTTCTTTTTTTTTCCTGCTCCTCCAATCACCACCCGCAACGTGGCAAAGGGAGTGAGGGGGTGACCCCCAAAAGGGGTCCCAAGCATTATTCTTAAGGTATAGCTTTGTCAAATAAGTATATTTCTATCTTTTATTGATTGGTCCTTATTGTGAACGAGTGTAGCTGCTGCAAGTATTACTGATTGTTTTGAGAATAGACTATTTTAGTAATTTATTGACTAAAATATGAGATGAAAAAAATTAAAATATTTAAAATAATTTTTTGACTACTTATGAAAAAGACATGTAAAAATGGAACGATTTTCAAACTATGATTCTACCCCCACATTGTAATATGATGTTTGGATAAGATGTTCCAATCACATTTCCTCAACATATAGAAAACTCTGTGAGGCGATTTTCATATTTTTTTTTTTTGAAATTTGACCTGATCAGTCGTCTCACTGGTCGTCCGGCCGGTTGACCGGAACAGTGCAATTTTTATTTTATTTTTTTGCAATTGACATGTTAATTTTTATATATTCGAAAAAAAAATTTCCAAATTTTTTAAAATTTTTTTGTGCTTTAATAAAATTTTGAGTTATATGTTTGATTACGATTTGTAAGTTTTTGTATAAAACATCATATGTCACATCAAAAATTTCCCACTCAATTCAAAACTCTTTCACCAAACAAAATTTTCACACTCAAATCATAATTTCAAAACTCACAAACTCAAAATACAACTCCTACTCTCAAATCATATTTAGAAAGTTCTACCAAACACAGCCTAAAAATCCTTCAACTTTTTATAATTTATGTCTTTTTAACTATTATCCAAACTTTTGCGTGGAAAACTTCAAAACACTCATTGAATTTCTCTAAACATACTCATTGAATTTCTCATTACATTCACTAAATGTACGGTAATCTTTGTTGTAATTGAATGCGTGGTAATCTTTGTTCATATATTTTATGCAGAAATTATTGTACATTAATGAAAATATGGGCGTGGTGAGATTTAAAAGGGCAAAAAGGGGGAAAAAAAAATTTTGATCAGAGGTGTGATGGAAAATTTTTAATCGAGTGTTTTAAAGTTCTTTGCATGGTAATGCAAGTTGAACATGGTTGCTCGTGCGCAAACAAATAATGAAACATGATGGTAAAAACAGGTGTGGAGGAAGATGAACCTGATCACTCATGAGCACGAGCAAAAACTGATCGTGGGGGATAGAATTCCATTGAATAAGCACGGATGTAAGTGCTTCACCAAGCTACAGAAAATTACCGTTACAAATAAGTGGTGCAAGATATAAAGAGACCTAAGAATAACGTTTCAACTTCTACCTGGTAAGAAGGCAAGCCAAGATCAGTTGTTCAACATGCGTAACTCAAATTAAAATTTACCAACATCCACTTGTATTAGTTGAGGAAAATCATTTACACTGCGATGCAAAAACCTATTTATGCTTTCCTTATCACTCAATTGTTGCCAGCTTCTCTTCATCTACCTCAAAAGCCTTCCTTGCTTGTTTCAGCTCCTCATTCATAGACAACAGTTCTGAACAGCGATTAAGCTTTGGCAGGTCCTACAAGGTCAAAAGATTGATATGGTATTAGGCCCAATCTATGAGATCAACAATTAGATACAGTCACATGAGTATCATGATAGCTTAAATGTCAACTCCCCTAAAGCAAGAAAAGGCCAAGTAACGTCCTCATCAGGGCATGAGCAATGGAGATTGACTTCTCGGAGGCTCTATTATTTCTAATTTTTAAATTTTGCGGCAAGGAAAAAAAAAAAAAAACAAACCACATACAGGTAAGAGTAAAGATGGCAACCGATTAAGCAAAAAAAAACAAAAAACAAATGAAGCAACCATATCAAGACTTTCCACAGAACAATGATGAAAAGCAAATCACCATGGTCACCCGTTTAACTTTATCTTTGATTGTGACAAGTTGACAGCACATCAGATCATCAACAATAATTGTCATTTGACCAAGTTTACATGTGAAAAAAACGAGTAAAAAAAAAGAAAGAGAGCAAGGAAGAAAAGTACCTTCCGTATTAAGAACGTAAATTCATCAATTAGAAGCTTTCCCCTTTTTGATGCAGTATCTTGAGCTTTATGCACCTGCAGAAAAGTCATATTCTTAAATGTTCAATTTCTCTTAAATGAAATATTCCAGTATGCTACCAACCAAGCATTAGTGAGGAAAGAAGGGGAGATATGGAGTTTGAAGTCCTTTACTATGAATTGCCAGCAATTCATGAAGTAGACACAAGTAATCCCAGCTTACCATATCAGTTACATACTCCACAACAATGTCCTCCACCAGTGCCACAGTTTCTGGAAGTGGCTGTCAGCACAGCACAATAAATTAATAAATAAATTTATTGCTATGGTGGTAATCCTTTAATACAAGAAAGTAGTGAATTTTTCAAAATGAACACGAGTGCATCCAACTATTATAAGTTATAAAAAAAAAAAAAAAAAAAAAAAAAAAAAAAAAAACTATTTATTAGGGGAAAGCAAAAAAGTTTCCAAAAAGAAAAGGAAGCCATTTTCCAATTCACTATATCATCCAAAAATCTTATTCAAAACTGACAACATCTTCTGCAAGCCATACCACAAAATACTACTTTTATTCTGATACAATCTTCCCCAAGTACAATAGTAGAATTAATAAAATGAGCAACATCTTTCCATCTCTGAGCAAGCTAAATTGGAAAATAGAATGACAGAGAAAGAAATGAAAATGGTGATCAGATCCCAATCAGCTACAAATTCTAGAATCAGATTGATGTTAAGGTCAAATAAAAAAATATATATATATCCTCTCTCTCTCTCTCTCTCCCTCCCTCCCTCCCTCCCTTCATTCTTCGAGAGAGAAAGACACAGAGAATAGATGATTGCTAATAATGTAGAAAACTGCAGCCTAAAAATTGAAAATCCACAATACTTCTTATCTTGCTTCTCCTGCTCCCTATATGCCCAACTGTCATTTGTCCGTACACACTTATCATGAATCTTCATAAAATCTTTGTCAAACACAAAAAAAATAGATTTTGTTCCATTTTAAGATAGAATGTTACAACTGTATAATACTAGTCCAACTAAGGCATACCGTCACTGGCACTAGCACTGGTACAGCTGAACACAACAGGAGAAGATCATTGTTAAAGTCCTGCTCACAACATAATATATCTCCCCTGAGATCTCATATGGAAGACGAAATGCTTATCCAACAAAGGACTCTTGAAAACAATTACTGCTATGCTAATGAGAGATGCGGAACCAAACACTAAATTTATACTAGAAGGCAGCACAATCGTAACAACATTGCACAAAGCATGAAAAAAATTTGTTGATTAAAAATTGTCAATAGTTGCATCAGCATTAGCAAGAAAAACACCAAATCCTTGTCCTGTGTTTGTTAAATTTTAATACCAATAAGATGAGAAACTCAAATTATATATGTATATATATATATATATATATGAGATAGAGAGTCATACTTACATTGGGATCATCTCCAAAACCATACATCATGTGCTGCACTGTTACAACCCACAAAGAGAGAGAGCGAGCGAGGAGATTAAACGGCATAAGTTAAAACTTCTTAAATCAAAGCTTTTTAAAATGCATCAAAGAAGTAAGAGCTCACAATCTTTCTGAAAAACTCCTCGCTTGCGCTTAAATGTAGATTCCGATGGCTGGGATGATCCAGCTCTCGCTTTTGAAGAGGGTCCTGCGGAAGAATTATTCATCTTCTCAGCCCAATAGCTTCCCTCTAATCTGTTGCCAAAAATATGGGACTCATAGATTAATTAGAAAGGAAATTATTTGCTCTTTGCACTGTTTGGTTTTGTTCTATTAAATTTACCTTACCCCGAAAAAGAAGAAAAAGAAAAAGAAAAAGAAAAAGAAAGGAAAAGATAAATGCAAAAAGATCATATATTTTTCAAAACAAACTAATGAGCCAGTCACCTTGTTAAAATTTTTAATTTCTCTGCCGTTCCTAAACAAATATAACATTTGACTAAACACAAATCATAGCCAGATTCAAGAATCAGAAGTGAAGAACAAAAGTTCAACAATTGTTCCAACAGACTTTTTTTTTTTATATAATCGAATGAAATTATTGGGAAACAAACAAGAAGATTGAAGTGTCAGATTCCATTGCAGTCAAATTACTCATTCAAGAACTCTGACTGATCACAACTCTTGAGAAAGATTAAACTAATTTTAAGAAGTATTGGTAAACATCGAATGGGCTATACAATCTAATCCATGCATATATAATAATTCCTGATCTCGATTTAGGAAATAAATACACACTACTTTTTTTATAATTTTATGGTTATATTCTTGTTCGAATTAACAAACTAGTCTAGTGTATAACAAAACAAACAATAAACAGAGGGATAAGTCACACAAGTCACAAAAGTGAAGCAGAGAAAGAGAAGTTACAGAGATATATTTGTTTGTTGAACTGTCTTTGGCTACTCTACTACTCGCACAAACAGAGACACAAGAACAAGGTTTCGCTGGTCTCCTCTTTTCGTCTTCGGATTCCAAGTTGTTCTCGAACTTATCTATCAAATCATGCCCTAACTTCTTCAATTTATATTTTTATTTAAACCGCCCGGTTCATTCGAACCGTCAAATTGTTCTAATTGCATCTCTCTGAAATTTATGCATTAATGATTTGGGTACCACTTAAATAAGTTATTTATTAGCTTATTTGATATAAGTTATCATATTATTGTTTTATTATTTTATACATCTTTTTATAATAAATAATAAATTTTTTAAGAATAAATTATAAATACATTTCTTGATATTTGCTTATAATATAGATTACTTTTTGTAGTTTGAAAAATTATAAATATCTTATTATTAGAATTTTTTATTTAACAAAATTAAATAAAAAAATGAAATTTATAATTACTCTCCTATACAATAATAAAATTATCTAAATTATTAATTGAAATATATTTTTAACATCATTAAAGTATTTGTAATTTACCCTTTATTAATAAAATGGACGATTTATTATGAAATTAGAAACTTCAGAGGGTCGAATGTAATTTTTAAAATTATAAGAAACAATTAATATTTTAATCAAATATTAAGAAGTATATTTTTTAAAAAATAAATCATAGGCAAACCACCCCTAGTATAGTCCTACTCCCTAATGTCCTACAAGAAGGTACAAACAATAAGTGGTTATAATTTTAAAAAATAATGTTATACGCACTAATTGATATATTAATTAATATATTAATTGATGATATAATATAATTTAAGAGATTTTTGATATTTATAAATTATATAATGAGTGGGGTTAATAATAATATCATAACTAATATTGATATACTAATTAATACATATAACACAATTAAATTTTAAAATATGATCAGTCACACAAACTATGTAATTAATTCCCAGTAATTGAGTGAATGGCTTGGATTGCATTTCACTTCTCTCGCTGTTCATTTTGACTGTAAAGAATATTTAAAATACTTGATATGAAGATTTTTCATATGTTTTTAAATATGATTTAAATATTAAGAATTACATTTAATTAATGTGTGGAATTCATGAATATAATTGAAATAAATTAAAAATTAAGAACCAAATAAAATATATGATTATTTTAAAGATGAAAATATATAATACTCAATCAATCCAAACATATGATGAGTTTGGGAGATGAGTTTTAGAGATAAAAAAATACAAAAAGTTGTTTGGTTTGATTTTTTTCAAAAGATGTTTTGAAAAATTATTTTGAGAGAGAGTTTTGGAAAAAGTGATTGATTTGATGTGTATGAGAGAGAGATTTGTTTGAAAAACTTGTAAACCAAACAAGTTTTGAGAAATTTTTTTGAAAAAATTTGTTTGGTTTGATTTCTTTTGAAAACTTATTTGTAGAGAATTTTTTCCAAAAATTTTTGGGAAACACAAACTAAACAAGGCCATAATTATTAATACTCGATTAATGTAATTTTTAATAAATAATTTATTGATAAAGTGCTAAATATTATATGATTTAAATCAACAAAATATAGGTTTCTAAATGGGCTTAATAGTGTAGAGGGAAGCCAAATCCAAAGTAAAAAGTAACCCGCGTTGTTGCGGTGTAATAACAGCGCGATGGTTGATTCTATTTGAACCTAAAAATTATCTAAGTATGCTTAATTCAAATTTCAAAATTTTAATTCATATAATATGTTAATGTGAATTTACTAATAAAGATAATACATATTAAACCTTAAAATAAAATATTAATTTTTTCTCATGATACACCCTAATTAATAGTATTGTTCTTATTCAAATATCTTCATCTTTTTCCTAAAGTTTTAATTATTTTATCTTTTTCTTTTTCTCACTCCAAAATTCAAATTTATCCCACCAAAATTCACCATTATCATCAATATCATTGTACAGGGAGCAAATATTCTCTTGTTTCCGTACTTCTCATTGTCCAAGTTCTTCAGTGCTCCGAACGACGTCATTCAACCTAAGAACACGACAATGGTGAGCTACCTGGCGGGTGGTTATCGGAAAACCCCTTCAACAGTCAAGTTAGCACCCTTCTTAAGAAAGAAAGAGAGAGAAGACAAAAAAGAGATAAAGCTCTGGGTAGCCAGAAATTCAGACCTGTTGTATGGAGGCACCGCTCAGTCTATATAGTCTTTGCGCACTACTCTGCTCGTCCTTTCCTGGACACGTGGCTGTATTGCTGTTGGTTACATATTTTGTATAAGCCAATCACAGTTCGACACGTGGCAGGATGAGGGCAATACGGGAAGACAATTCAAATCTTCAATCGTAATCACACACGTGGCAATTAGTATTTGTTGTTGTGAACCTGCATAGCACTGGATCAGCAAAGAGATGCAAAATGACGTGGCTTCAACGGTTACTCATATTTAAATTCAAAATCAGGAGGGAAGCCTAACTACAGATATGGTATAGTGGAGCTAACTGTAAGGCAGCATGATCAGCGATCATGAATGGATGATTTCGACGGTTAAAAATGCATTTCGACGGTTGTTATTGAGAAGTATAAATAGCAGAGAAAGCCTCAGAAAACGCCTTAGACTCAGATCAAAAAATTCAGTTTTATCTACTTTATTTTTTCTTCTAGTTTTTACATTTCTTGTTCTTTACATTTCTGTACTTCAAATTCCTGCACTGCACTTCGTTCATAGGAGTAGTTTCAAGTAGTTTGTTGCTGTAAACATCTGCGAGGCTGATTTAGATCTTTGTAAGTCTTCCATTTTACTTAATGAAATGCTACAATTGTTCTTCATTTAATCATTGTTTACTTAATTCTCCTAAACAAAGCCACCAGCAAAAGTCCTCTTCATTGAGGCTGAAAGAATTAAAACACAATCGTCTGATAATTGGTTGGCAATTAATATTCTATAAGGACTGATTGATCCTTACTGGCACGCTTACAATTACAAAAATAACCTTCGAAATCCAAAAAAGCCAACATATATTTTTGGCACGCCCGGTGGGACTAATTAAAATGGCTAGACGTAGGAGACAAGGAGCAAATGAATGCTTGAAAGAAGACGTGGAAGGAGAGGTAGAAATACCCAATCCAAAGGAACATGTGATAACACATCCTGTGGAAGTATCTGTTTTATCAGAACCTATGGTCGAACAGACCATCACTTCAGAGCAAGTACCACATGTTTAAAGCATTGGACGAGGCCAAGGAATTAGACCATCCACTATTCCATCTACTCAGCCAATGAATCCATGGGGTGGCCTAGTAGATGCCATAAGACAGCAGTTAATGAACACAATAGAAATGTGGGCAACATCCTTCATGGATCGAATGAATACCCATCAACCAACAAACACAAGACATATAGAGGAAATTTCAAATGTCCCTCAGCAAAGATTGGCTAGAGATAAACAGTCTATGCAAAATAACGGACATTCTAATGGTCAAACTAGTAACCAAAACCATGAAAAACCATCACCTCAGTCTTGGTATGAGCCTCGTTCGAGGCATGTGGCAAATCAAAATGCCTCATTACTTAACAGTGAAGCCATGAAAATTGGTGGATCTGGCTCAACACAAGAAAATGGCATAAGGATGTTTCCAAATCCCATGTTCGAAGCCATACCTGGCACGAGGGGGTTCATTAATCCTTTGCTCGAAATTGTACCCGGGGGGTTGGAAGGGTTTCCTGTATCTAGAAGAGACACAACACATGTTCTAGCACCTTTCGTAGGTCCTTTCGCAGGACAGGCTCAAAGGGGTTATCCATACCCTTAACAGCAGCCAGCACTACAGGGACAACCAGTCCCAAATATGCCACCCTATGGACCAAGAGGACCTTAGGCACAAGGTTGTCCACCAAATCCTGTGTTTGCTTCTCCAATAGTGGTTCAACAAGCACAAAATGTGGTTCCTATGGACCAAATTGCTGATATTGTTAGAGAGATGTGTGGACCAATGGCTCGGGGGGTTCAAACTCCTGTCTACAGGAAGCCATATCCAGAATGGGTAGATAGGGTACATGAATACCCAAGAGGATTTAGGATACCAGATTTTACTCTTTTTTATGGGAATGGAAACCAGTCAACGGTTGAGTATATTGCTAGGTTCGTTGCTCAATGTGGTGAATTTACCAATAATGATTACATGAAATTAAGATTGTTCCCAAATTCTCTGTCTGGGCAGCCTTTATATGGTATATTAACCTTACACCTGGCTCTATCCAAACTTGGCAACAAATGAAGGAGGTATTTCATGCCCAATTCTTCCAAATAGAGCCAGAAGTTTCTATGGCAGACTTGGCAAGGTTGAGTCAAAGACCTGATGAGAAAGCTGCTCAATTTATTGCCAGATTCAAAAGAGCACGAAACAAATGTAGGATCATCTTACCAGAGACTGAATTTGTGAGATTGGCTCAAAATGGTCTGGAATTTAGGCTTCGAAAGAAGTTTGACTCGACTGAGTTTAGAGACTTAGTGGAACTAACCTATAAGGTGTCTAGGTATGAAGCATTACTAGAGGAATAACAAGATCGAAGTAATGCATCATACAAGATGTATTATAGATATCCTAATTATGAGATTGATGTAGCAGATATTGTAGGAAAAGAACCTGTGATCTGTGAGACATTAATTCATAAAGACACAACAATAGACCAGCAGTTTAAAAAGAAAGACCTTCATAGGAAATACTCTTTCGATTTAACGAAGGCAGATAACATTTTTGATCATTTGCTTGCGGCAAACTTCCTGAAGTTACCAAAAGGAGTCAAAATTCCGTCTCCAGAGGAACTTAAAGGAAAAGTATATTGTAAATGGCATAATTCTTAGTCTCACTCAACTAAAAACTGCATTGTTTTTCGAGACAAGATCCAAGAGCAGATTCAAAAGGGGAGTTTAAAATTCCCAGCTAAAGCAGAAAAGGCCATGGGGATTGACACTAATCCATTCCCAGAAATTAGAGAAGTGGCAGCCAATGTCATTGTGCCAGACTTCCAAAACTTATCCTTGAAATAATTGGAAGAGGTCAATGTCCAAATGCATGTTGCCAGTTAGACTACTGTCAAAAAAGATGCTAGAAGTTTACCAGCTGTTGGACAAGGT